CATGAGCCATAATTTGAGCCTTGTGGCTCTCAGTAGTACAAAGATATAAATATCTTAATATTTGTTGGAAAATTTCGTATTATTATCGAAAACTTTGTGAACGAGTTCATAGCGAATCAAATGTTAAAATTTTCCAACAGGAAATGAGTGAACACTGTATGCTATGTTATATGGAATTCTTGTTCATCTTGTTCTATCCCTTACTGCAAATTTTCGCTTCTTTTTCCATGATTTATTGTTATTTTCTTGCAGTCTTCTCATGTAATACTTGTGTATCTGGCTCTGAGATAACAAAAATGCTGCGAAAGTAGCAAACAGTTGCAGCAAGAGCTAGATCAAGAAGAACAAAGATTGCAAGAATCATAACAGAAACGTTTTGCGTATTTCTTGTTTTAAAAATTCAATTGCTGATGTTTTCCCTACGTTGTAAGTAGGAATGTAACGGTGACGATAACCACACAGTTTTCATCGGTTCTCAATGAAAGAAATATGTTTTCGCGAGAGCATCAATATATTATCAACGTTGGCGAGTAGCAATCGAGCTAGGGGAATCCGAATATGTAGTCGGTTTCTTGAAATATTGTACCTTCACGGTCTCTACAGCGAAACACTTCTAGTAAAAGTTTACTGAGAACTGAAGTACCAAAATTTTGAAAATTTGACTTCAGTTTCGGATTCCTCAATCCCAATTTCCTCTAATCAACCTTTAGGAAAATTGTTAAATTCTCTGGAAATATTTTCTTCATCGAGAATAGGGATATAGCAGTGAGACTAATGGTAAAGGCGGTAACATATGAGGAGCCTACGATGATGGCCGGTGAATTGGCATCGCTGATTTTTTTTAACAATAATAAGTCTAAATAATATAAAAACCCGTTCATCATCTTAGGTTGTTGACTCAGTTTTACTGGCTTCACTTGTGTTAACGGTGACGCTTGAAAGTGTACCCCTAATCAAGAGCCTGTAAAAACCATACAGTTATCGTAGTTGATCGGTAACTGTAGATTGGTGATTGAGCGTCACTGTTGCATCCCTAGCCACATACATTTATCTATGCAACGAGTATGTATGTTAAACAAATGGATGTCTTTTGGAAATACAAGATAAATTTTCTTTGATGAGATATAGAGGGGTCCATAGTTTTGGAAACCCTTGTATATACAGTGGAATTGAGATCTCACCAAAGATGAAAACGATTAAGGTAGAAAAAAGACTCGCTACTGTGTCTATGACAATTGTCTGAAAATCAACATTTTAGGATACCTCCGATGGTTTGAGACGCTATACGGCACATAGTGTTTTTTAAAATGTGATTCAGATAGATAGATATTTATGGATTTCAATGTTGTTTCCAGACCCAAGTCTTTCTGCCTAGGAAAGTAAGCGCCAAAAAGTTCAAATTCTGGCGAATGACAGATACAGAAAAATACTATATATATGTATAATAAGAAATTTTATCTTTCAAGACATGTCTAAAACATCACGATTGATTACGTGTGTCCAAACCTCATAAACACCATTAACCCTAAATTGGAATATTATATGAAAAACGTTCCAGAAAACACTCATCTAACACTTTTCAATTCATGTTATTATATGATCAGGACGCACCCAAAAGAGTAGACTCCAAAGCAATCATTGAATAATATACACTACATAATTCGTGGAAAGACAAAATGGAGTCTGTTGGACAAAAGATGACCTCTGAGAGTTCAACACAGAAAGAAAAATTGAGAAAAATCGCGTCATTCTTTTCTTAACATTCATTAGTAACCTTTCTCTTCAGAGGATTGTAAAAAGTTGAATTTATCCATATTTTTGCATATTGATACGTCGAGTCCAGTATGCGGTATATCATTGCGATATTGTACGAATAATAATGCATCACTAATGCCCAACATAGGCTCTTATGAAAACGCATTAATTCGGACAAATCCAACTACTCTTACAGTGTGAAATAGCAGAAAACATGTGCCTGTTGCGATACGTTTTTTTAATCTTTCTGACTCCGTTGGTAGAAGATAAATCATGATGAGTATCTAGGAAAACTCGATACCACGCTATTACTTCCATCAATTTGACTAGTTTATTCACAAAGAAAGAGATCTCGCTCAGGGTTTTCTTTTACTTGTTTTCATATGACTGCATTTTATTCTTATAGAACCTACAACGCCTTCTATGTCATCGTGGCACGTGGGTATATTATCATCCAGCAGCCTAAATTTTTCTCGACCTGGTGGTAGCACAGAGCGTTCGTTTTACTATGAGTATATTGAAATCAATGTATTCATAACTGGTAATTACACTTTTCAGAGCAGAAGCAAAATTGACATTATGGGGTATTTATACCATACTTGTTTCAATCCAAATAATTCTGCAGCAAATTTAATGGTCAAAGATGATGATGGTGGAGATCAATTGCAATTTCGTATCCAAAGTTACCTGGAATCGGAACAGAAGTATATTCTGGTGGTTACAACCCATGTGGAATTTGTTAAGGGAAATTTTTCGATCACAACTGCTGGTCCATCCATCGCATACAGTATGTAGTGTTATTGAAATCATTGGCGGGTCATCCGCAGTCTATTGGTGTCAATTGTCACATCTGCACTATTNCGCAGCTCTCTATCATGTTTCGTTCAAAAATTATTCGAAAAGCAATGGAGTCTCTTCTATTTTGAAAAGGATAATAGTTGTTAAAAAATGTCTGAAACGAGAGTACTAAATGCTTTTGGTATCACGTAATCTTTTTCATCTGCTAAACTGTCGGTAAGTGTGATTGAAGCTGAGAGTAACACTCGCACCTCACATAATCGAAATCTTGAGTTATACGCGAAATTTAAAAAAATAATGATATTTTTCTGTTTCATGTTATGCTAGAATCGTTTTGATACAAATAGTAAGTTACATGTCAAATATAGAAAACTAATGATTTGTGTTTTGCTTTACTTAGGTTCGAACCGATTTGATTGAAAACGTTGCCTAGGCTGAAAGAATAGGGTCTAGAAATCGTGGTTCACCTGAGTCTACCGGTCGATGTGTCTGTCTGTATGCATGTATGCCTGCCAGTAACCTTGTCACAAATGACCCTTTGTATGGTACAAGTGACAGCCTTGATGGCACAGACGATGGGTGAATGCAGAGTAGGGTCACGCGAAAAAGTGCGACCTGGAGATGGGATCAATGAAAGAGCGAGTT